CAGTAATACAGTATTTATGCTTCTGCTGCTGAGCCATGAGGACCTTTCAAATAAAAAAAGACTTAAATCTTAAATAAAAGTTCCCGTGTGCAACTCCCTTCATCTGCATCCTCCTCAGACGACCCTGACCCACAGACCCCTCCCCGACAAGAACAGCAGGACAGCAAAAGTCACGCTTTGGATACACGCGCAGGGTGCATCCACCTCACCAGTGTGAATGATATAAAACTATGGAAACAAATATTAGTGTTATGTATTTTGTACTCATAAATCAGACTTTGTACTTGTAGATTAAGATTTGTAACTTTTGGGAATGTAAATAAGAATGTGCGTATGTAAAATAGAGTTGTAAAAATAAAATTTGTATCTGTAAAAATAAGATTTGTATTTGTAAAAATTAAATCTGTATCTGTAAAAATAATATTTGTATCTGTAAAACCAAGATTTGTATCTGTAAAAAATATTTACACAAGTTACAGTCTTTTTTTGTTAAGGTCCGTTTACAGGTACAAAGCAAAAAACTACATGTGTCTCTCTGCTCAAGTTAAAAACTTGCATGTGAGTTTCACTTTACAAGTACGAATTCTGACCAAGTTTTTCTGCCTCCAGCAGGTCAATGTCTTGTTAATCATAGATTTAATTCCAATCAGAGAACAGATGGGTTTGGCTGTTGTGCCTAAATGTCTACTCAGATATACAATATAGCTGTGTTGTGTTGCTATTGGATCATTTCAGCGACGTGACCCCAGCTACAGCCCCGCCCAGGGAAGCTCTGTTCATTTTTCTGATGTACTTCACCCATCCATGGAAGGAAAAACCAAAATATGAGTAATAATAGGAGGAATGATGTGGACTTCTTCTGCCTGGCACCTTTTTTAAACTTCCACGTGCAGGTAAAGAAAAAGTAATTATTTCTTATTTAAATTTTTAGCGTATTTTACCTCTTTCCCTCCGCTCCTAGCTTAAAGTGATGAGCACATGTTGTCAATTGAAGCACAGGGTAAGACGTGTGAAATGAGAGCATGCTAGCAAGAGAAGATTATTTCCAACTTTAAATCAGCACACTGGGAAGGCAGAAGGAGGTATGAAAATATGCAGCTTATGTTTGTTTTTATGAGAGTAATTATTTTTATTTGAAGAATGAGAAAAATGTTATTTTATTTGTTAAGGTTGAAGCTACAGGTGTCATCAGGTAATAAGGAGTATTTATCTTTTATGAATGTTAATTTATTTGTTTAAGATATTGCTTCACATTTATTATAAAAAGCCTGTTTCAGTTGAGATTTTATTGTTTGCTTGGTAAATTTATTTAGAGTTTATGAAAAGGTGTGATGATGGGTGTTGGCTGATCAGCTGCAGCTCATCTCCCTCCTCATCAGCACTGGGTTTTAAAAGCCTGCTCCAATCATCTGATCTTTGCTGGATCACATAATCTGTTTGTTCTGCTTCCAGAGAACTGTTTCTCTGTTTGAAGGTTACACTTCTTTTTTTTTTACTTGTCTCCAGTATCTCCTCCTGTTTCTCTGAAGTTCCTCTCGTGGGTCAGCACCAGTAAAGAGAGACACTCAGCCGAATTCTGGATTCCTGCTCCCTCTCGAGATCTGCTACTGTAAATAAAGACGGTCACCTGGATGCTCACCTTCCTGTGAACCTGGCCGCTCAGCTGCTACTCTGCCTTGGTCCAGCTCACCTCTCCAGCTGCTTCACTGTAACCTGCTTCGAAACGCTCCTCTCAGTCCTCACCCAGACCAGATCTTTCCCCTCAGCTGTAAATAAATATATATTCTACTTTACTCAGTCTGCCTGAGTTTGTTTTCCTCTCATACTGTTAAAAACATTGACATCCTCCCTGAGTTTCTGATACTTTATTGGTAAATGCAAACACCTGAATTCTGTTTCAGCGCTGAAGTCTTTACCAGACTCACATCTGAAATCTGCTCAAATCAGATTAAATATGTTAAATGTATTTGACAAATATTTATTTACAACCACTGACGCTATTCACATCCTAATATTTTAATTTTTAGTGAAAATATTGCTCTTTATATTTGTTAGCTCAGCTGGAGCCATGTCTGGTGACCCTCTGTCTCTCTGAGTTCCTTCCACTTTTTCACACTCGAGCCAAGAAGAGAAGGAGGAACATGCAGAGATACGAGCAGCTCAGCAGACAGAAGAAGAACAGGATGGTGTGGACATTGTTGACTCAGCTGTGGTACTTGCTGATCAATAACAATATGACAACTACATATACAAGAACACAACTAAACGTTTATAACATAAAAAGTGAATTGATGCAGAGAAATTTTAAATTGAAAGAAAACAGATCTGATGCATCTGCCTTTGAGAAGGATGATAATGGAAAGGCAATGATAGATGTGTCCACTTATTCCAAATTTCAAATAGTTTATACATTTCTAATATTTTAATAAATTCGGCAGACAGAGGGTTTGATGTTGCAGAATCTGTTGGACTGAAAATCCCAGTTTTCACTAAAGGTCTAACACCTCTGGGTTAACTGGTTCATGTTGTGCTCTGACAAACCCGGCTCCCACTGTTAAATCTTCAGGGTTAAACATTATGAAACAGTAATATTGCACAGTAAATGAATAATTTCATTAAAGAAATAGATAACTATGATGTATCATTTATGTAAAAAGATTTTATTGAATGTTAATTATGGTACTTTTGTGAATAAAAATAAAATATATTTTGCAGCCTGAAATATTTGTGTTTCAGTCACATGATGTCACGATGCTCCTGTACTGAGAGGTGATGATGATGAGACCTCCTC